ATCGAATATGAAAATCACCATTGTAATATCATGTTTTCGGATTTAATAAATATTTAATTGCAATCATAATCGCTACAGTGCAGGATTGTAAATTTTTCATATTTGATATTTGTATCGACGATATATTACATACCTTTGATGTATGAAATTCACCTGTTTCACAAGTGCGTCCCCCCTCAAAAAATTCCTGGATCAGCTACTGCAATATATTTAAGAGCTAAATATTCTCGCCTCTAGTTTAAGGATGGTTCTCCAGATTCGGCGTAAAATATTATCTATTGAGGAAGTCCAGAACGCTGCAGTACAGATCTAAATGGTGAATTATGTCCAGAATCTAATATCCTCAGCAACATTTTTCTGGCTGTTTCATAAATTTGAGCTCCAATCGATTTTTTCTCTTAATATGGATATATTTTGATTAAAGTGTGCTTATCGGCACGCCTGCTGGAGTATGAAATACAATAAAATTTAAATTTTCCCTGAATAAATTTCTATACGTCTGGTTCTTGTCTTAATATTTTAAGTGTGTAACTCCGCAAACAATATTAGTTGACATTGTGATGTTAGGTATTTTGTGAATGATTCATCATTATCTCCAGTTATTTCATTTTATGTTTTTCCCCTCATTTCCTTTATACGTAGTTCTTGATAATACTTCAGATATCAAAATGGTTTGCCCATTTTTTAAATTTAATATATTAAAATGGAAATTAAGTAATATGTCATGTGAAAACATATATAGTTTACTTACCTGATAAGGTTACTCCATAAAATACAGGGGTCTCTATTTTCCATCGATTCCTCAAGACTTAATTAAGAGATTCGTGTGAATTCTCTCTACAGTTTTTAAACCTAATCATTCATGTTATTTATTTATTTTTTTGATTTTCCGAACGGCCTTTGTTGCACTATAGCCGAATTTTAAGTAAATGTGAATTCATCCGTTATTTTATAAACTTTACAGAACGTTCTTCAATCCGGTTTAAACCAATATTGGCGTAAACTGAATTTAAAATAGATACAGAACGCATAAAATATTTGAAGGTTTAAAAAACAGTTGCTTGGGCTCGTAAAGCACTTTTTGGTATCAAAAGTTGAAAAGGCACATACTTAATTTACAGCCTACTGTATAATGAAATTATGAATATTCTAAATTTAGTAAATGGTTTTAAAAACAGTTTTTTTTTTTTTGGCAACTGAAACTATTCCATCATCTACTTTTTTTTTTATATATATTTGATATTTTGAGATTTATGTATTAGCAGTGAGAGAAATACTACAGAAGTGGGTTATTTCGTTTGAACATTTATTTAAAAAAAAAAATATTTTCCCGCACAATAATACACCACCAAGTCCAGCCACTTTTAATCCGTCTATCATACTAAAACAATTAAGTAAGCTTTACGGATAGAACAGTTTGGCTTAAGCTGACTGACTTAAGAGTTCAAAACTGTAAAGAGCTGATGACATTCTAGCGCCTCTAGTGAAGCGATGACAGAAAGTCAGGCAAGATGCATCAACTCTTATTAAAAGTATGGGCTAGATAGCTTGAGGAAGACATTCAAGCAAGGGTTGAAACTTTTAGGGATTTTTTTTTAAAGTTCTATTTCAGTAGTTTTTTAAAACTTTTTAGGAAAAAGTTCCACTTTAACAGTTTAGTGAAACGTTTGGGGGGAAAAAGTTTTTAAAATGAAAGTTCTGAGGAACTTTTATGTTATAAAGTTCCAGGTTAATAGTAAAATTTAAACTTGTATTTATTCAAATTCTTAAAAAGAATTGCGTTAAATGAAATATAAGCACTAATTAGGCTTAGTTTAGATTTATAATTTGTCTTAAATGAACTATCGTGAATGATTCTAATATGTCGTATGTTTTAAAAGCTATGAATAAAAGTCATTTTTAGGTCAATTTTTTAGCGATCGATTAATCTTTTTTATAAGTTTTTTTCTAAAAATGGTAAAAAGTTCTAGTTCAAAAAGAACTGAAAACTATAGACAATGAAAATTGCGATGATACCGAAACTTTTTAAAAAGAAAAGATTTTTTTCCATTTCAAGCCAAATCAATTAAATAAGTAACGTGAGGTTATTTCCCCATTTGTTAATTTATTTCTAAATTTATGATATTAATTTTTTTTTTCTACTTCACAAATCACCTTCTAAATAACTGCTCATAAGATCAGTGGTATAAATTTGGCTGTTCTCTGAAGATTTTATATGTTTAGTTATTTTTTTTTTATAACATCTCGCTAAAATATATTTATCTGTTTTAAAATATATTTACAACTCTTAACAAGAAAGGACATGACCATTAATAAATTTTCCGTTACTTAAATTAACCTTTACACCTACTTTTGATATATTCGTTGATTTTGTTTTATTGATGTTACAGTAAATTATCAATGAATCGGTTAACGAGAATAACATAAAAATTATTTGCATTTGAATTAACTGCAATACAATCAATCAGTAACACAATGTGAATGCAACATTACTATAGACTTACATAAGAAAGAAACGCTAATCAGCTGTAAGTGACCTTGATCGATTTCCTTTATTTTGACTGACGTATCGATGTTTATTTCAATGAAAATATTTTATTTTATAACTCGAGTTCAGGTGTTGAATTTACAATATAACCAAAAAAACCGAACTCTGATTGGATTACTTATGGTGGCCTGTCAGAAACCAGTTCGGCATCCATGATGTTAACAATTCTTGAAAATACAAGGGTAGTCCCAGAAAAAAATTATTTCTGTAGCATTTTAACTTTTTTCTTAATTTTCTTAGATCTTAAACTTGCTTTAAAATATAATTTAGGAGAGAAAAAATAATAGAAACCAAATTCATTATATATTTGATGTAGCATAAAATTTTATAAACATACAAAAATCATTTATATTCGAAAAACGAAATGTGGGTAGTCCGTTTGAGTATTTAAATACCTAAACGAACTCAAGATATGATCTTAGTACTATTTGGACAAGATTAATTTGGTTGATGTCATTCCTTCTTCGTGTCTCTCCATCTTCAGGTCTTCCATGTCTTTATGGACTATTCCTCGCCTTCGTATTCTTAATCACACATCGAAGAGGCTCTTCACTCTTCTTGAAACTAGATGTCAGTAACCTATCTATGATTCTAGGCAGCTCCTATAATGCGGGTGGTGGAGTTTTCTTTCAAATCTTTCACACCAAAATTCTTGGGTGGGTCTTACAACTATAAATCAAAAGAGACTTTACAACGGTATTTTTATAATTTATATTTATTATATATATATTAGGAGTAACATATTTTTTATTGTAATTTTTCAGTATTCTTGAAAGAGCACTCTTTTCTCACAAAATTATAGATTGGTTTATCTCCGAAAGTCATGGAATTGCATGTCGCAAGCTGTGTAATAAAAATTATAGATGGGGCAAGTTTTTACTGGGCCTAGAATTTGCGAGGGGGCCAAATTTTGACTGAGCTGTTGAGTATATGTGACTGGGCATTTTTTATGGAATTTCAATTAAGGGAACTTTCAAATGGGGGGGGGGGGAACAGCAAGTGTAAGGTAAGATCTTAATTTTTATCGCATACTGCCTTTTTAAGAAGCTTGCATTGTTGTAAGAAGGGAAGGGCAATCATATATCTTGAAAGTGGGGCATGCACCTTAGACCTTGGGGGAATGGTCGAATTCAAAAACCCCCAGCCGAAAGATAATGTTTTGAAGGAAGAAGACTAAATATTTTTTTATTGATAAATTATATTTGTCTAATCATAAATTGAAAAGTCAAAAATTTAGTTCATAATATTTTCATATCGACATCCTTTTTATTTAAAAAAATTGCTTAGCTCGATACCTCTTAAAGAGGAATGTCGTGAAATGATCTAGAGTCTAGACCGTAGTTTACAACATTAATTTAATCATCTCAACCAATATATCGATTTTTTTTCTTTTTTTTTTAATAACTACTTCAAAAAGATAAGATCCATTACATTATGGAGGTTATAGTTTATCCACAATGAACCAAGAATAAAAAAAAAATGGATATCTGGAAAATAATGCCAAGCTAAACCTGCATTAATAATGAAGGCCAGTTCTTCTGCACTAGGGAAGCTTTGATATCCATGCGTAAAGTAAAAAAAAATCTCGGAACAAACATTTTTCACTCACGTTTCACGTTTTAGACGTTGAAGAACAAATTTGGTTCTGTGTGTAGTCAAATCTATGTTTCGCGCATAGAACTTACTATATTTCTGTTGTTTAAAAAAAAAGGCACGTCTAATTTGGATCAAAATTAAATGAATTTTTGGAATTAATCTTCAAATGGTCCAATTTTCTAAAATATATTTTCCTTAACAGGCATATATTTCAAAAACGGCTTCGTGTCATAGATCTTAAACGAAAATCCATTGACATTAAAATGTAGGTAATTGCATACACGAATGTAATGGGGAGAAAGCTATAGTCACCCTATTTGGCAGTTTTACATGAAGAACCAATCTCTAAATTTTTACTTTTGCTTTATAGTTTAAATAAATGACTTATCTATCAGACATGCAGGTAAATTTATATCAAGTTTCAATTACTTATGTATTATATTTTCGTCTAGTATGCAAATGTGTTGTAAATTAAATGAAAATAAACCAATAATCGATAATATTCCTGAGAAAAGTACAGTTAAAATTTTATAGTTTATAATGAAAAGCTTAATTTAAGGAAAATAATCAGTTCCGAATAAAAAGTTGAAAATACACTTTGCACGCTAGACGGAAAACAAGAGGCCATTGTCAAATTTAGTTGACTATATTCTTTTGAAATATCTTTTCTTAGTTTAATAGTTTTGAAACAAATTTAACCATTGAATTTTGATTTGATCTGTAAGAATTTTTGACAATAACCTCTTGGATACTACAGGAAAGGCATGGACACAATTTTTGTGGACTCCTGTTCGAGTACTAATACGGTGCTCATGCCCTTCCTGAGACACACCTGTATTGATTGATTCCTGTTCACCTGTTCAGTAGAGGCTGGTAGGTTTCGGGTTGGTTGTCGTTGGCGCACATTTTGTCAACTGTGTGTGGGGCCTCTTCACATCTCACCTCCTGAAACATTATAAAGTCTATCAGTCATGGGGCGGTATTTATCAAGTACGGTGGACTGAATGGGAGAGGGGATGCCGGTGGGATCCCCCAACTCCCTGGTTCTGACTCAGAAGATACTTGATAGGCGGCGAAATGTATGCTAGTGGAAAAGTTCCAACCGTATGGTATCGCTGTTGCGGTATTTCTTGGAATATGCATTACTGTAGTATATAGTAAATCAGACCTTGGGTGGTGATTCATTTCTCAGCCATTGAAGAAAACCGGTCTCCCTGTTCGGCTTACTGTTAATTCTGGTATTAAAGAAACGAGTTCCATATAAGTGGCATGTTGTCACAGTAAGCAGTAACAGATAAATATAAAATAAATATATAAATTATTGGCGTAATATCAACTTCATATAATGAGCTCAATTATCAATGACCTAATTAACGCTCCATTAAAATAATTATTTAAAAAATATATATATATATATATTTTATATATGTAGAGAGAAAAATAAATGAATATTGTTATCTCATATATGAATATTGTATTTCATTTGACAATTAATTATTTTGGGTCCATTATAGAATCAAGTTTGTTCGTTTGTTTGTTTGTTTCGATGTCTAGGCGCAAAACATCCAGGTCATCAGCGCCCGATCAACTAAATAACACTACTTTTATACTATTTGGATGGTTGGTCCAAAAAATAAGAATACAAAAAGGATAAAAATAATTAAAGAAAAGGATTGATAGAATGAAATAAATAAATAAAAATAACACCATTAAATAAATAACTAAATAAATAAATAACTAACTATAACTAATAAATAAATAAATAAATAAATAACCAAATAACATAATTAAATGAAAGGATTGATAGAATGAAATAAATAAATAAAAATAATAATAGACACTTAAAGATAATAAGATAGAATAGATAGATAAATAAACTTTTAAAAAATAGAAATAAAATCAATAAATGAGTTGAAATTAATAACCAAATAAACTTTTAAAATAAAAAAATAAAATGAAATTAAGTAAATAGATAAAAAAAAATAAATAAATAAATAAAAAAAAATAATAATAATAAATCTGCAAAGGGTCATAATTTATAAACTTGTCATATATGTTGTTTAAGTCTTTCACTATCCAGGAAGTTGATAACTTTGGTAACTATTTCTCCTTGATTTCCCGGAGATGCTGAAATATTCTGGGGTATTCCAAGATCTTTCAACCTTGCGGTGTAAAAAAGGCATTCTTCCAAAACATACTTTATGGTTAATGACTGGTCACACTTTTGACATCTGGGTGATCAAGTGATGATGACTTGATAGCCGAAACGTCTTGAAAAAAAATTAGTAAAGTAAATATTCCGGTAATAAGCACTTTAAGATAATTATTCAACATTAATGTAGACGGTGGCTTAACAGCTTAAGTTCTGACGGTGGATATTTGCAAATATGTTTAATTGAAAGCAAATTTAGTCTTTTATCAATTAGGTTTTTCCTATACAGTCAATTAGTTTATTATTCATAAGAAACTTGGAAAATTTTTACAGCGTATTTTGCATCAACTGGTTTTATTATATTGTAAAAGAATAAATAAAATAAAATAAACTGTTCACAGTTTTAAACAAGAAAATGACAAACTACAGATGAATGAATCCAAACTTCAGACCTATCTCCTAAAGGAAAGTGATAAGAAAACATCCCTGAAACAAAGAACCAGCCTTGCCCCATTAAAAAATCAATCAATGGGCTTTGTGGGGTGATACCACTTGAGATTCAGGCATCACCCTCTTTAGTGTTCTAGTTTCAAATCTACTCGTATTTGCACTCCATTTTTTGGAATATGAAGCTTATTACTTGTTAATGAGTTCAAAACTGTCTATTACTGGTAAAGTGTCTGTTACTGTCACATTTACTATAAATACCATAACATTTATCATAAGTAGTTACTCTTCCAGTCTCAAGGAACTATAATGAATGACCACCCTTCTTAAACACTAAACACTAATATACTTATCACCTTAAACACTAATACACTATTATCATTATTGATTGAGGTATTGTTAAAATATTTTATCCTGACAGGAAAAAAAATAATTAAAAAAATTACAACGAAAAAATGAATTACTTCTTTACCGCTCACCTGAGTCAGTCGAGCAGAATTTTAAATTAATTTAACTACGGAATTTCTTTCTCATTTTTTTTCTTATCCTCCATCATTTTATTTTAACTAATACATATATAAGTATAATATATATATATATATATATATATATATATATATATATATATATATATATATATATATATATACACACACACACATATATATTCTTTCTCATCACTGAACAATTTATAAATTGTTTCCGAATAAAATTTGTAGAAGATGTAGGCATTTGCCATTTGGCAATAGTGGAGCTATGCGAGATGAAGAAAATCGCGAGACATCCGAAGCCATCAGGGCCGGAAGTAGGAGAGGGGACAAAGAAGGCACTTTCTCCGGATGGCACATTTTAAAGGGCAGAAAATTACAAAAGAAATTAATTTTTTTATTAGATTAAATTTTGCATACATTTAGAATAGATAATATTTATTTTTGCTTTTCGATTGTTTTGTTATTAATTCAGACAATAAAATTAGTTAATGCTATGATATAATGATATTTATTACGAAATATATTACCTAAAATAGTGTAAAAAAAACGCAGATTTTTCTTAGGGAGATGGGTGAAAGATTGGGCGCCAAAATTAAGCCCTCCTGGAATAAATCGTAGTTCTGGCCATGATTTTCAAACAACTTTTCATCTCCCTCACTTAATTTATAAATGTAAAATCACTAAAACAGTTGCTTATGCTGGAATTTCTGTTGAGATTTACCTCGATGTGTGTGGTATTGTTTTGCGTAGAAAACGATTATTCCAAATCGCTGCTCATTTAACCTGGACGGGACTACCATTTTGTATATATATCCTACACCCTCAAACACCTTCTCCCCCATAATGGTATTCTCGGGGTCATAAAGCATATTTTAATGCATCCCATCCCTCCTCCGATGATCTTCAAAAAAGTAATAAAAAAAAATTCAAAATTACTTTAAATAGTTTATATATCATGTATTTAGTTTCATCATTGGGTTGCGTTCGTAACATATTATCACAGTGTGTGAAAACGTTTATTAGAGAGTTAAGAGAGATCTAAATCAGGCAGGTAAACAAGGTGTAACGCACAGTCGCCCTGACAATATCGATTAAACTTGTGGCTACGTCTAGACTTCACTAATCGATAGGCTGGGCAATATTCAATTACTGAAATTACATTACTTACTGTCAGTGAAATTGAACTGAATAATATTGATATGCAAAATTATTCAGTGGAAAGAAATGTATTGCAATATATTGTATTGGAAGACTATTAGTGAAATCCAAATTGAACGGACCTAACTAGAAATGACAATAAGAAACATATGTTTACATTATTAAGGATACGAGAAGGAAAAAAAGAAACCTAGCATGGAGAGGTACAGGAACTGGAGCTGTATCGTTTACTGTTTTTAATAAAAAGTTTGTAAGAATATAAAATATCTCATTTTACGAAAAAAAACAATATTATTTACTTCTATACATACTTCCTAAGTTTGGTATCAAACATTATTATAGTTTATGATAAATTAATGTAGTTTAGGCCTGTTACTTGATAACAAGTTAATTACTCAGTTAGCAGCAGAAATATGAATAATAACATGTAATGTTTTAAGTGCTTAATTCATTTGGGCCAATTTAAAATTAATTTTTTTTTTCTTTGTATAGGATATTTGAATGAAAAATCAATTTAAGAGAAATAATATGCCACGTCCAACTGCCTCACTGCCAAGAATTTCATTAAAAAATGTCTTGAAAGATATCTACAGTCCAATTTCTATATTGGGACAAGTGAGAGAGGGTATTTATAATTTAATTATTTATTCAGAAAAACGTTTACAAAATATATTCGAATTTTCGAATAAATGTCTTTAACGTAATCTTTGCTGACATCAAATCACTGAATTATCTTATTATTAGCAATGTTAAATAAAGTAATAGTAAATTTAAGATATAAAACTAAAATAGATTTGGCCAGAATTTTAAACATCATTGTCAAATCTCTATTATCTTCGAGACAGCTATGATAGTCCAAAAGATTTTCCGATTAAATACGATCTATTAAATCAATATTTTTGATATTATAATTTTCTATTAATCTGATTGTTTTAATTGACTTTATTTAACAAGATAAGCACTTAGTAGTACTTATCAATAGTACGTCAATAAATAGGCAGATGATATAATTTAGAGAAAAAGTTTTAAACATTTTATTCAAATAAATTGATTCCAAATATCTGAATCATCAATAAAAAATGCATAAGATTTCGAAGGAATCGGAAGAGTAAGGTTGAAGCATTGGACTTCCCACGAGTCCATAGAACCATAGTTCTAGGTAGCTTCTGGGCAGAGTTGCCTTCGTAAACAATACAGGAAAACGATTTAACACGTCTTCTAGGACGACAGGCTATCTACATAGTGATTTTTTTTTATCATATAGGAATTCATTATTATCAATTATCATTATGAATAGAAATTTTAGATGTTTTATGGCGGATCTGTAACATTCAATATAAATTTGAAGGTATTGAATATTTAATAGTTGACCGTTGCATTATAAAGGAAGGAGATGGTCCGGGGTTGCGGTCATAAATAGGCTAAATAATGGTAAAACTATTTTATTGAAAGCCGACGTTTCAATAACATTACAACACCTGTAAGTCTCTAATTTTATTTCTCTCCTGTAGATTTTGTAGAAGTATATTCGCATTTTCATTTATTATATATTACACTATTTTCAATTGTTAGTATAGTAATATTACACTATTCAACAATTGTTAGCATCTATTTACTTCAGTTTAGGATCTTGTTACTCAGCTTACTTTGTCCATATTTTATTGTACTTACTGTTTATAATTTTAATAAGCTTATTCACATTGTTTATAAATTATTTCTAAATATTATGTAATTGCCAGAATTCTCTATCTTTTTGAATCTTGTCCGTTCTAGGCCTGATGAAGACCTGCAAAGTCCGGTCGAAACGTCGGCTTTCAATAAAAGTTTTACCACTATTTAGCCTATTTATGACCGCAACCCCAGACCATCTCCTTCCTTTAAATTTGAAGGTATTTGAAGGCTGAAACTATACAAAGTGGGTACCCTTAATTATATTTAATTGATTATGGGGGAAAACATGGCGGTTGAGCGTGATTCTGGCCCGGTCTCCCCCTGCGCAACCGTTGGCCTTGTAACAGTACTTTCCCTAAATAGTACTGAACCCAGGCCACTTCATGGGTTGTAGTAGTACAGGTTTAATCTGTTTAATACAGGTTAAATAAATTTAATCTGAATTGAAACAAATTTTCGGCAGGTTTTCTGCACATGCCAATTTCCTTAGTTCGTAAGTTCTACAT